TCATGGAACCACTAAAAAATAGCTAATTATCATGCAAATTAGGTAATTAATATGCACGGATTTTTACCAAAAATTAATCAAATCTGCGCATATGTTCAGAGCATCTATGTACCAAGTTTCATCAAAATCCAATGAGTGGTTCTTTAGATATCAGTGGAACAGTCATAGAACAGCTAAAAATTAGCTAATTATCATGCAAATTAGGTAATTAACGAGCATGGATTTTTACCAAAACCTAATCAAATCTGCGCATTGGCCCAGAGCATCTATGCACCAAGTTTCATCAAAAACCGATGTATGGTTCTTGAGATAGCAGTGGAACAGTCGGACACACATACACACACACACACACACATACACACATACACACATACAGACACACTAACTGCAAAGACTCCCATTTTGTGCTTCGCACATGGGAGTCAAAAACGCAAGTGCAATTACTTTGATATTACATATATAGGTACTACATGTGGACCTCTCTCAGATTTGTTCATTTTGGTGAATATTTTTGTAATTTTTGGTAAAATGTGATATTTTCGACTTCTTGTTAAAAACCAATAGTTCAATTGCTTTGATATTACATATATAGATACTACATGTAGACCTTTCTCAGATTTGTTCATTTCGTGATGATATCTTCAATTCTCTAATTTTGGTGAATATTTTTGTCATTTTTGCTAAAAAGTGATGTTTTCGACTTCTTGTTAAAAACCAATAGTTCAATTGCCTTGATATTACATATATAGATACTGTAAAGGGGTAATTATTCACTGGGTTTTAATTTAGCTTATATTTCGCTGACTGGAAAAATGTGCTAAATTAAAACACAGTGAATATGTAAAATTTAGCATAGAACACATTATCTAAATGACGAAACCGTGAATTTAAAACCCACTGAATATGCCCGATATGGTAAATCAGTGAAATTTAAACCCAGTGAAAATTAGTCATTTTACAGTACTACATGTAACCCTTTCTCAGATTTGTTCATTTCGTGATGATATCTTCAATTCTCTAATTTTGGTGAATATTTTTGTCATTTTTGCTAAAAAGTGATATTTTTGTCTTGTTGAAAACCGCAAGTCCAATTGCTTTGATATTACATATATAGGTACTACATGTGGACCTCTTTCTGATTTGTTCATTTTGTAATGATATCTTCATTCTCTAATTTTGGTGAATATTTTTGTTGTTTTTCGGTAAAAAGTGATATTTTCGACTTCTTGTTAAAAACTGCAAGTTCGATTGCTTTGATATTATATATATTGTTCATTTTCTAATGATGTCTTCAGTTCTTTAATTGGAATGTGCATTGCTAACAGCGGAGCTATCTCAGCCGATAGGCTGCTTGTTGTTAGTGTATCTTTAATTTTATTTTATTAAAACATGTACACATTATAACTAATTGGGGTGGGAATTGCCAAGCAAATTTATAAAATTATAAACAAATATTTTCGTAAATAACACTGACCGTGAAATACGCCCTTGAGAAGTGTTACTGATGGAATATTTTATATTGCAATTTCTTTCAATTGTAATTAGTTGTCTTGCAATGCATTAGTAATAATGTAAATATATATATATACATTTCTTTATTTCATTGTTGAGACTGAGTTATATATTTGTTAGGTACTATAATTTATCTAATATGGAAAACGGTTATGGGGATTATTAATTTTAATAAACAATATTCAACTATCCTTTGCAACACCAATAAGATCATAATGATGTAAGCATGGGTTTTATTTTGGAACTCCTGCCAACTGTACAAACCATAAAGGCAAATTCGTAGCTTCTAAGGACGGTATTCCCAGAATAGCGCAAGTTGTTAAAGAAACATAAAACTTTAATTCTCAACAACGATGAAAGGACCAGTTAATGCAACAAAGCCCTATTCCCCGCCATACCCACCCAATACGAAACCCACTTACCGCGAAGCTACTAGTGTGGTAAATAATAATTTTGTAAATTTTGATCATTATGCATTTCACCTTGTTTACCTTGATATCTGTTATTACTTAAATTGTGACCCATTCCTTTCTTCTATTAATCCCTAATTTTGGTCCTAGTCTATCTTGAATATTTCTAACTAACAAGGCTGTTCCCAGTCTATTCAAATGAACATTATCATAAAGTTGCCTGTCTGGTACCATATAATGCTGTAGAAATATAAGGCCTTCCTTCTCACATAGATCTTTCAACAAAGTGTTACCATGTCTGGAAGCTTTCAAGAAATATTGGTTATTGCGTCTGTGTATAATAGATGAAATATATATTGTGGATTTAGGAAAACATTCTTTGGCCTTTTGTATTAAAGAGTGATAAGCATTGATACATGTGTCACTGACTGATGAGCCACTATCAATATCATTTGTGCCTATATGAATTATGATATGTTCTATATCTGTATACTTTACATGAGATAAATCTTGTTCTACTTCCACTATTTTACTACCTCGTAATGTTCTTACTTGAGTGTTTCTGTATACTTTGGATGGTTCAATATCTTTCAATATAGAGTCACCTTGCGGTACTATTAGAGTTTGAGTGGTTGTTGGTTTACTCTTCTTCCTTGGTGATTCCCACTGGTATTGGTGGTCGTGTCTATGCTCTAATGGTGAGGTGGAGTTTGAACTGGTATTATTTAGTCGTGTGGAAAATGGGTTTGTTGACATTTTCTGTTGTAGACAGACTGGTATTTTGTTGCAAATGCTGCACATCACCCAATTTTTCTTCCATTTTGTCACTCTTTGATTAATACTTCTATCTTAGTTTCTCCATGGAACTATAAACCCTAGTTCCATGGTTTCTCTATCTGACAGTGATTGTTGTAACATTTTCTTGTCATTTTGTAGGGTGTGAATTTGTCCTTCATAATTCTCATTTGATGTTATGATTTTATCCAATTTACTTTGATTCTTTTTTATTGTGCCCTGCAGTTTGTGTATTGATGTATCCATGTTCTTTAATTTCTCACTTATTTCTTTAGTAGACTTTAGCATTTGAAGATTCTGTTGATTAAGGTTTGCCTCAACCTGATCCAGCTTTTCTGTTATTGCTTTAATATTATGATTATTCTTAACAATGTCACAGTACTATCAGGGGGAAATTCTTCTCTTTGGGGTTCTCCACACGTGTCCGGGGGGAACCTCGTCTGGTCTCTTTATCGCGTCCCCTTGAGGGGCGGGATCGGGAAAGTCACTTATACTTTATTGTGGTATTATTAGTGGTATTCTTGTTGGAGTTTTTACTGTATTCAGTTTCTTTTGTTGTTTAACATGAGTTTTTTGAAATCTACTAGGTGTAACTGTTGGTTGAATTTTATCTTCTTTATTGGTACATGGTGTTGCATCGATTTTGTCCTCATTGGTGTTACAACAGCACAATTTGGTTTTAACAGTGAATAGTAATTGCTCAAGATTATTGGTAAGCCAGGCCATGCAGTGTCCTTGAAACATGATAGTACTATTATAGTAAACATCAACATCGACTGTAGCTCTGTGTACAGGTCTGTGAATGTGGAGGCGCTCCTATTCATCGAGACCTTATCTGCGCCCCAATACACAGCCCTGTGAACGACCATAGGCATTTTCAAAAACACTACACATGTCATACAAAATGTCTCATTTCGGGACGAATTCGTACCTCTTTGCACCAAAAGCAGCGTCGATCACCTTAACATACTGTAATGAACACTCAGTTGTTGAATTGATGTACTGTAGGGGAGTTTTGGATGTTAAAACAGACTATTTATTGCCCAAAATGCGTATACACGGTACTTAAGTATATAAACAGAGACGCCATTTTGGTCACGCGAGATTGACCACGTGATAAAACTTTTTACTATGACGTCAGAGCTGAATGACGAAAACGTGTTTTCTATGAGGAAAATCAATATAATAATTGTTGTGGTTTTTGACTAAAATGTTTAAATTTTCAGTTATTTTCAAGAAAAAATACTTTAATTTTAAAAAGTAATATATTATTTTGTTATCCATCATGCTTGGCAGAAAAAGTAT